CCATCCCGTAAATTGGGAAAATGAACAACCCTCACAGTCTACGATGAAATCTGATGCAGATCAACAAAAAAACGAGAATCGCGATCAAGTACATGAAACGACTAATCAGCTGAACGTATTTTAATATAACTAGCGATTTACTGAGTGGAAAGCTATTCAGTGCTGACATAAGTGCCATGGATTTTTTGATATCCCATTTGTCGTAATCTAATCGTGTGGTTTAGAGGCCATATGAAGTACCTAGGTGGCCTTTTGCAGTTGTTCTTGAGCAGAGGCGCATGATAACCACTGTTAGTTAGCCGTTTACCATAGATAGAGTCAGTCAATTAGTAACATACTGAAATCTTTGGCGAAGAACAGACAGTATGTTCAAAATTCGTTTTTTTTCAACTTAAAGAGCGCCTTATCTATGGCAATGATATGCACCACAGAAAAGTGAGAGGTGGAGCTGAAGAGGAGCTAAAACAGGAGACAGAAGATCCCTGGAAAAGGATTCTCGGCTCTTTCCTGGAAGTCGAAAGATTATAAGAAATACAATGGCGGGGTACACATTTTCATCAATTCTGACGTCCACTGCAGGTTGTAGTTCCCTAAGTAACATCTACCGAAACTTACTGAATCCAAACCACATCTACTTGTACGCATATCAGTGCTCGCTTGGGCAAAACTCTTCTGTATGGTATAGGGCACCTGGTTTAACGCAGCTGTGAATCTACGAATTGAGTTCAGCGGGATTACACCCAGTTGAACTAACATCAGTGTTTATGCTCTCAACCTTGTTGTCTCTATATATGCGGTGGACCTATTTGATGTATTCAAAATAAGTTGGAAAACGAGTACAGTGTACAGCATTATATATTTCTTTCTGGTGGTAGACAGTAGACATCCGAAGTTCCACACACATTCGAAAGTTCCGAGCATGTCGTTACTGTTCCGAATAGCATCAGTGCTAGCTGAAAGATTAAGTCGCAAATATTCACGGGAATTCTTGTGAATATAATACGGGCTAGGCCCACGATCCAGTCCGGTATGTTCATGAATCCAAACCCGTAAGGTGAAGATAACATGAGAATCTATAGTTTATAAGGGCTAACGGTCTCTGAGTAATTACAATGCTATGGCTTGGGTATATTTCATAGGAACCCACTTTCCAGACAAATTTTAAGGTTCTGGT